AACATTTAAAATTGAATAAAAGCCCTTTTGTGTTTCATTTGTAATATTTTCAAGAGAAAGAACTCTTTCACACCTGCAACATTTTAAATGTTTTCCCAACTCCTGTAATTCCACGATGCGTCGACCACTGCACAGGTTATTTTCCACGTTTGGGGTTTCCTTTCTCAATTTTTGGCATTATTCATAGCCAAAATTGATTTTTTGCGTTTGTTGAGGACGTTCTGCTTAACAAACTTTCCTTTATCTCGCAATTGATCCTGACAATGAAACATTTTGATATTTACATTTATTTTATTTGCCGTTTCACAATATATTTGCGACGTTGCCGGATGGATTTTACGCGATATAATAACATATTTGTATATAAGATCACAGTCTGTTACAAAAATACCCTTTCTTTAGATTTAAGAATCTCGAACGGTTGGTATTCACTATAGGGCGATATTTTTGTGTACGACTGTCGCGAGTGAACTACCTTAAAACAATGTTAAATGGAAAATACTAGTATTATTGTGAAAAAAGCGTCGGGCGCTCGATGTACGAGAAATATGGACAAAGCGCCCCACTCTTTTTTCACAATAATACTAGTATTTTCCAATTATCATTGTTTTAAGCCTATTTGAAAAATTATTTTTCACTTTTTAGTTCGATGTATTATAAAAGCGTGCTTTTTAGTTTTTTTAAACTATATTTATTTTTTACTTTTTAGTTAGATTAATTATTAAAAAAATTGCTGAAAAAATTTTTTTTTTCAGCCGTGGGGATAAGAACCCACGATCGGTGAGTCTGGCAATCTAAAACCCGCGCCTTAGACCTCTCGGCCAACGAACGAACTTGAGTTAGTGGGATATACTGACAGCAATAAGCCACTTGCTTTTAGTCCAAAGGAGAGTTACAAACATACATACAGGTGAAGCTAATATAAGCGAGTTAAAAACTATTCGAAATATGTACCAACAAAGAAAATTGGAAAATACTAGATCTAATTATGGTGACATAGAAAGAATACACATTTGACAAAAATTTTAAAACCTTATTACGAGTCAGGAATGTCTTCTAAGAAAAAAGCGGAATCAAAGATCTCTAGTTGGTCTAGATCACTGCATGATGAAGAATATTAATAGGTTTGTAATTTTTATTTTAATAATATCGTGCCGTATTTTCAAATGATTAAAAATTAAATAAAGTTGGTTCCTGGATTCCCTTACATATCAGACAAAACCACTAGAAAAGTGCTCCATTCTTTGGGTTTTAGATATCCTACCTTAAATAGAAGACAGTATATTAGGGAATCTTAAAGAATTATGATATTAAGTAATGAATACGTCCCTAGAGTAGATGATACTCGGCAAGATAGATTCATAGTGTATCTCGATGAGACTTGGTACGACCCTCAAGATATTTTGAAAAAAGGATGGAGTAATCAATCTGCTAAATGTTCTGTGAATGCTCCTCCAAATAGAGGAAAACGTATTATATTACATTCCGGTAATGAAAGCGGTTTTGTGTCGAATTGCTATTATCAGCAAAGGATATTTTCAGTTGCAGATTGTCACCAAATTATGACATCTACCTTGTTCAAGAAATGGTTTGGTGAACAATTCCTAATTTGTCACCAAATGCTGTTATAGTAATGGATAATGCCTCTTACCGCTCTCGTCAAACTAGTCAAATTCCAAAAGCCAAAGTTCGAAAAGAGGTAGTTTCCGCGTTTTTGGGCAAAAAGGGTGTATCGTATCCACCTACAGTTTAAAAAAATCTCAAACCTAGCTATGTTGTGAATTAGATGGCTACGGCATTTGTTCATACCGTAATACATTTACCACCGTATTATCGTACATTAAATGCCATATAAATAATTTGGAAGTAAAAAAAAAATTAATCCTGTGTTGTCTGAATCCATTTTAGATGTTATCAGAGAAGATGTATATCTCAAGAAATATGCTCCAATTGCGTTCTTCGTGTTACCAAAATTGAAAATAACCATCGAATATTTCCGGTTAATTTTTGCATTATAAACCTATATTACACGTCAAGTGAAGATGATAGTTCTGATGTAACCGCATATTTGTTGATTCACGATATTTTGGAAAGGAACATGTGCTGCTTTTGAATATTCACATCGGATGCATATGAGTTTTTGTGAATTTTTTATCACGTGATAGAGGATTAGATCTAAATGTAACGTTACAGACTTTATTGGTCACGTGATAAAATGACAATTAGTTAGAAATTTATATTTTTTAAATTTGACTTTTGAGACTAGAAATCAACCTAAATTTGAAATATAAACAAAAATTAAACACACTATCACTTTTATAGTCACGCTAGCATAAACAAAAGATAATTGATAAACTTGGCTTCACACAACACCTACTTTCTGGCATGGAAGGAACATCTTATTTACATCTCATTTCAAATCGAGATGTAGAAAATGTAATCTGGACAGCTACATCTTGGATAAACAAACGCAGATGTAGATGTGTCCGATGTGGATAAACAAACAATCGAGATGTAAAAAATGCATCGGATGTGGATATTCAAATGCAGCAATGGTACTGTTCCCATTTTCCTTTTCTAGGAATGTAACCTTGACGTGTTGAGAAGGCTTGCATGCTTCAATCACTTTAATTAATTAAAGTCAGACTAATACATTCCACAGTAGTTTACATTTTTTATATTAAGAATATACTGATAAAAGTTGTTCAAGCATTTTTCGTAACATCCTTTATTGATTTTTAATATTCAATGTAATAATTAAATACTTTAAGTAAATAAAATAGTAGATGAAATATTATAGTTTCATGGCGAGTTTTATTACAAATCGTGAATATTTATTTAGGATCAATTTCGTAAGTGTTGCCTTTAAAACTAAATTTAGTGATATTTATTAAATAATCAAAGAAGGAAATTATACGAATAATGTGATATTTAAATACGTATAACATTTCCTCTTGAAAGCGTAACATACAACTAATTAGGTCCGCCCCGGGGTTGCCGTTAAACGTGTTTTTATACGATTCCCTTTGTTTTGCTGAAAGAGAACGAATATCTACCTCCAACTATAGAATAGTGCACACTGTGAAACACTTGCGTCGAACTATTCACCAAACCTCCGAAAATTTCCCAGCGGTTTTCCCAACAAATAAAATGAAAATGAACTAATGCTCTCTGGCTATTTAATAACGCGTTTATCGAGTGCCCATTAGAACAAACAAATACTATTATATTAAGTGTAAGGGTTAAAGAAAAGGTCCTTTTCTTTCTCACAAGTCAATTTAATTGGCGACCGGTTTCGAAGCTGTCACTTCATCATCAGGCACACCTTGACTATTTCCATAAAGGAAGCGCTACATAAAGTTTAACAAAACGAGTTAAAAAAGTCATATGTAATACAATAGTATTTTTTAAAAATATTGTAGGTTAGGTTAAACCACGAGATGTCTGTTTGAATAAATTAATTAAAACACATGTAAGACTATTATTAACTAAACAACACAAAATAGTTTTTACAAGCACAAACAGTTTAAAAATTTTAAGGATATAACGTCAATTAATAAAAGTAAAAAGTAAAAATTATCAGACTCAATACATCTAAGTAAAAATTATCAGACTCAAGACATATAGATGTCTTGAGTCTGATAATTTTTACTTTTTACTTTTATTAATTGACGTTATATCCTTAAAATTTTTAAACTGTTTGTGCTTGTAAAAACTATTTTGTGTTGTTTAGTTAATAATAGTCTTACATGTGTTTTAATTAATTTATTCAAACAGACATCTCGCGGTTTAACCTAACCTACAATATTTTTAAAAAATACTATTGTATTACATATGACTTTTTTAACTCGTTTTGTTAAACTTTATGTAGCGCTTCCTTTATGGAAATAGTCAAGGTGTGCCTGATGATGAAGTGACAGCTTCGAAACCGGTCGCCAATTAAATTGACTTGTGAGAAATAAAGGACCTTTTCTTTAACCCTTACACTTAATCCCTACTACTCACATATGGCTACCCTCACTCCAAAAAAAAAAAAAAAATCTATTATGTTTAGTTTCTACCTCGAGTTACGGTGTATGTGGTGTCGATACAGGACACTGGAATAAACTTTTCGGTAACTGTGTTTGGCACTTACGACGAGTAGCAGAACGGGGCAGAGCAGAGAAAAGAATCGACGGTAGAACAGCAGCCAAAAAAGGGTGCTCCTTTGGGCTCTCCGATTTATACCTCACGACGGGACTGGTTCGGATTCCGAGTAGTTCGGAGTGGGAGATACCATCTCTAGTTTTAATGTTTACTTACGGAGGAAATAAAAATGCCCTTTTGACACCTGCTGAATATACCTAGATAATTTACATGAAATTGAATGTTTAAAGCCGGATTCGAATTTCGGTAAATACTGATATATTTTAAACTATGAGGGCTCTCGCAAATGTTTAAAAACGGGAACCTCTAGGAAACAAAAATACGGGGCTCTTCAGAACGTTCTCAGGCGGAAATTAATTAAAATAAGCATTTTAAAAATGAATATAAAATAAAATTTAGTTACTTCGATCATTCTCATCTCTGCACATAGTGAAATTCTGTCAAAAGAAGTCAAAATCTTTAATGCTCTGGGTATCTATGATGTATTAAAAATTTACATTTCAGAGGTAATTTTTAGTCTAATTCCGGAGGACTATCAGTCAAATCCGGTTTATAACTATAAAACTAAAGGGAGCTTGAACTGCTGGATGAAGTTAAAATTTATTTTAATATTGGATCTGTTGAATTCAGTTCGAGTATTAAATATGACAAAATTGCATATAGAGGTGCTATTGTGATTTTTATTTACACACGATGAAGTATGTCCATTGGTCTATATTTAAAGTCTCCTGCATTATCGATTAATGATTGTAGCGCCTCTTAAGTTTTTATATTACGGGACAGTTCGTGAACTTCGCATTTTACCTATTTAATTAATTATTTATGCTGGAAGGTCAAAATAACATGCAACTAACCTGAAACAGCTCGGTCTGCAGCGATTCGAACGGCCCGTTCGCGTACACGAAATCCGGCGGCAACGGCTCCACACCATCCGCTTCGCTTCCTTGATCTTGAACAACATTAGAACGTTCAGAACAGAAAATATTTGGTAATGATCGCGTCGACATGGCGTTCAACGAGAACGACTTTCTCATTCCCAAGCCATTGTGGCCTCCTAAGCCCTTGGGCGTGCTACTGCGTAGCACGTCGTAAAGCATTTTTGGGGGTTTGAGGCCCTTAGAATTGGGAGAGAGAGGTGATAAGACGTTTTGTATTAGAGAAGGACTACTGTTGTTGTTGTTGCGGGTAGTGGGGGTGTAGGAAAAGGATTGGTTTTTTAAAGGGGAAGAGTATATTGGGATGGTACTACCTCGGGAAAAGAAACTGCTCATTTCGTCCAGGCAGGTGTTGTAGTGAGATGATAACGAGTATCGTCTTGAAGTCAGAATTTTTTCCAGGCCCTGTTTTTTGGAGTCCAGTAACTGAAACAAATACAGAATTTGTAATTAAATCAGGTAGAAATTAACGACATGTTCTAGCCAGTAAGAATCCCCAAGTTAAATCCGCGAGTCAGTTTTTTTTTATATAAAACTTACCTCATTTTCATTTAATAACTGATCCACTTCGTTCTTAGTCTCATGCAATTTTTTCCGTAAATCTTCATTTATTTTTGATACCGACGTTAATTCGTGCTCTTTCATATCGAGCTCAGTCTTCATATCGATAAGTTGTGTTTTTAAAAGCTGTTCCGTTTTGGTGAGATGTTGGCAACGGTCTCCGAGTTCAGTATTCTAATTAAGAAAAAAAAAAAAATTAAATATTTGACGCTTAGAGTTTAACTACATTAAAAGTATTAAGTATAATAATTATGGACCATAGGATTACTGGACAATCTTTGATAAAATTGTGTTTCCTTAATGAGGTTTGCTTAATAGCTATTATCTAAAAAAAAAACTCAAAAACCGGTCGATTTTTATTCCAAGAGGGACACCTTTCTATCATATCCTCAACTGTCATACGTTATTCCCCTCCTCTCCATTACTCAAACCAATATGCGACATTTTATTTGAAAGCTAATTTCATAAGTTATTTTGGTTGATTGCGATTAAAGTTTGTATTTCATAACAAGAGAGCACTACAAGGTTTTTGAAATATTTAAGTTCATTTTTCATTCAATTATGTTAAATCCTCTAGAGTCTAGAGGACGCTAAAATCGAATGAACCCGTGTTAGGGATTTGACCCCGTTTTATTATATTTAGTTGTCGAGTAATAAAAAAGTATTGAAAAATATGAATTTATAGTTTAGTGATGGATGGCTTGGAAAAGTCCACAGACAAGTCCGACGGACTTTTTAGCATATTTTTTTTAAATAAAAGGCCCATAAATCGTAAGAATTTTCACCTCGAGGGGACCATGGCCCTCATCCCCCCCTTGCGCCGCCCTTGGCTCAACGTCGACTACTTTTCATTACTTTTCCGGATGTATCCGTAAGACTATTTCAAAAATTACTTTTCAAGAAAAGTCCCATCACTATTATTGTTTGATGTTGCCTTACAATATCTAAATTTTGACTGACCATTTTACAGACAAATCACTGCTCGTAAAATCTTTTTGCTGGCGACAGGTTAAGAAAACGACAGGGCGGTCAAGTGGCACACTTCAAAAATACTAGGAACTATAACAATAAGGAAATTAATCTTTAAAGATTTAGGACACCATCAAGACCCAAAATATCTTGTTGCTTTCATTCGAACCCAACTAGAAAGATGTCGGAAGCAGATGACGCTCTTTAAATGCTTTCCAACACTGATGGAATTATTGGAAACCCACTTTCGAAGAGGAAAACAACCTTAATTTAAAATCGGTTTAATTTCTTGACAACAAAGAATAAGTTCCGAGATAAAGTTAGATCCTGTTAGCAGATCGTCAACATAAAAATAGTTTGCAATAATTTTGGAAGAATGTGGGTAAATTTGAAAGCATTCATGTGACAATTGTACTAAGCACCTGGTAGCCAAAAAACTATTTATTTAGAGAATATGTGTCAACAGAGCCGGAAGATTCAAATTTTCAGAAGATCTGTTGTAGATGTCTCTGAGAGGAACAGACCAAAACTTGACGGTACATTTTAGCTATATCAGCAGAAACAATGTAAGAATATTGTCTGAATCTTAAAAGGAATGAGAGAAGATCATTTTGAACTACAGATCCATCTGAAGGTCAATAATTGAAACACCGGAACTAGTAACACAAAATCCATAGAATACCACTCAAAGACAAGTTGTTAGAGAATCCTTTTTATTCACTCCAAGATGGGGTAAATAATAGTTGATTGGAGAATTAGATGACTCAACCTTTGACATGTGACCCATTGATAATTATTGTAATATCCAAATTTTGACTGAACTTCTTTCGGACAAACCATTGCTCCTTCCCAAGCTCATGAAACCTTTTTGCTGCGACAGGTCAAGAAAATGACAGGGCAGTCAAATGGCACACTTAAGAACAAACACATAGTGCAGGGCATAGTGGCGCATTCGTTTGCAAAATTGTTTTAATTCGTATTTTTTTTTTAAATGTCCGGAAGGCTTTCCTTATTATAAAAGTGTAAGATGACACTCGATATCTGTTGATGTTATTGTTTAAACAACGAAAAATTAATTAAGCCAGAAAAAATGCATTTTTTGCAATGAATTAATTTTTTTATATTCTTTAGGATATTTCGAAGAAAAAAGTCCTTACGCCCATCATCGTATCTTCAACCCTTTAATTGTTATGAATTTTTTAAAATCCGAAATTGACGAAAATTCTAATTTTCTTGAATTAAATAATATATCTTAAAATAACCTAAAATATATTTTCAAAATTTTGTTTATGTTTTTTTACGTTAGGGAGCGTTCAAGTATTATTGGGGGGGAGGGGGGTTTTGTAAAACGTTACGATGCGTTACAGGGGCGGGAGGGGGGAGTTGTACTTCCCGTTACGTAACACTATTATTTTTTAACCCTTCAGGAAAGTCGCGTATTTTAGCGACTTTCCGGTACTTTACGCCACATAATTGTGATTTTTAGGTAAAAATAGTCACTTGGTGGTTACGTAACGTTTCACTAGGGGGGGGTACAGAAAAACGTTGCGGCGCGTTACATGGGGGGAGGGAGGGGGGGTTAAACATCTCCAAAAAAATGCGTTACGTAATACTTGAACGCTCCCTTATAACAATATGCTTCCTACGCGCGTGTACTTTTAGAGAGAAGTACTTCTATCTCACTTCCAACTCAATGAATAAGATGGGTAAGAGAAAGCCCGATGACGCGCTGAATCAATTTTTTGCTGTTTTTCAGAGGTAATAAGTTTAAAAAATATATTATTAACATTTTTCATAACACTTTGTTATATTTGCCGATTAATAGTTTTGTATCATGTGATTTTTTTTACTTTTTTTTTAGATACTTCTGATAACATTTTTTATTTATTAAAGTTAACAGAAACATTTATTTTTAACATTTATTTTTATTCATGAAAAAATTATTGTCAGATACTGTCTGAGAAGTAAAATCTTCTTCAAAATTTTTTTTTTCAATACGATAAAAAGGCCAAATGCACTTGTCGTGATCCGTGAAAAATTTCTATCTGTTACAATGAACATTTTGAAAATATATTTAGGTTATTTTGTTTATTATAGTTTGAATATTCGGTAAAAAATTTTAAATTTTAAGGTATATTATTTAATTCAAGAAAATTAGAATTTTCGTCAATTTTGCATTTTAAAAAATTCATAACAATTAAAGGGTTGAAGATACGATGATGGGCGTAAGGACTTTTTTATTCGAAATATCCTAAAGAATATAAAAAAAAATTATTTCATTGCAAAAAATGCATTTTTTCTGGCTTAATTAATTTTTCGTTGTTTAAACAATAACATCAACAAATATCGAGTGTCATCTTACACTTTTATAATCAGGAAAGCCTTCCGGACATTAAAAAAAAAATTACGAATTAAAACAATTTTGCAAACGAATGCGCCAGTATGCTCTGGTCTAACATGTCTTATTCGAACACAATGATTAGTCATAATGATGACCCATAAAATTACCTTTTCCAATGATGTGTCATACTTGGTACTCTCCTTATTTGAAGTGTATTAGTTACAATGTGGGAAATGGGAATGACATATGGCGTTTGAGAATATGATGGAAAGGTGATCCTTTGAAATAAAAATCCGTCCTTTTTTGCGATTTCAAAACAATTCTCCTTCAAGATATTCCGAGATACAACCGCTAATAAAATGATTATAAAATGTTACCAAACTAATTAATACATTTCATTTTCATTTTTCATTTTCATTTTTACAGTCAAATGTTATACCTATATAGATAAATCTTTACCTCTTTTTCTAATTTTTGAAGGTACATATTTAAATGGCTGTTCTCTTTTTCGAATAGTATTAGCTTTTTGTTGAGTTCTTCTATTCGCTTTTTCCCTAAATTCACTTCATCTTTTACGTCTTCTATGCAATTCTTATTTTCTTCCAAATGTCCATTTACTTGAGGTTCACTAAAAATTTTAAAACATCCTAAATTTGTTTGTATTCAAGAAAGATTAATTTTTATTATTATCACATAAGTAAATAGATAAAATATATACAGTGTGTCGCAAAAAGTTTACACCATATGTATATAACACTTTTGTGTTATAAATTTGCCAAAAAACTTCATAATGATCCGAAAATTAAAGTATGAAATTTAAAGGCATGAAAATGTACATCCCAATTTCCCTTACCAAATAGGAATCCATCCTCACAACCCCAAAATGAAAAAATGAAAAAACCAAAGAAACATTGCTGGGTGGAACTGTGTGTACCGACTAGAATCCAAATATGATATCTTCAAATTGCCAATTCAGTCATTATGGCTCCGGTAAGTCTAAGTGAAAAGGCAGTGAGATGTAAACTTGTGGTTCAATTTCTGACCGGGACAAATTTTTTCAGTTCGGCTTTTTTTAAATTACTGATTCGAATAAGTGGAACAGAATTGTGGCCAATCATGCCTCCATTTTCTCATATTGTTGGATTTTATCAAGGCAACAATATCTGGGCTACAGATGTTATGAATGGTGTTAGTTCCTTTTTTTTTATTGAAGATTTTGCTAGCATATCAACATATTCATTATGTTTAAGTCCAATATGAGCCTTTACCCATTATTAATTAGTTGGAACAATGCCTTTTTGATCAAGAAAATGTATGGATTTGAATTAAAATTTGGAATATCCAGATTTAAAAACAGATAAAGAATCTGAAGCAATTAGAGCTGCTTTAGTGTTAGATTCTGTTACAAATTGTAAGGCTTCTAGTTTCGCAATCGCTTCTGCAGTGTAACTAGAAAAGTTATCAGGTAGTTTTTAAATAGCTTTATTATGAAGAGACGAGACGTAGTAGGCGCAACCAGTGCTTAGGTCTGACTTGGATGCATCGGTGTATATAACAGTATGTCCAGGAAAGCTATTTAGGTTACAAAGGAGTAGATTTAAACAATTATGAGGATTTTCATCATAATTGGGTTAATAATACTATTCTTGCTATAGCTATTAAATTTTGAGAGCATTATCTTCATTTTCAATAGAAATCTTCTTTGCACCTTGTCTGAAAGGTCGTATTATTTGTTGTTCTTTCCATCGTGTCAACGTAAAATATGCAACTTTACTGACATTTAACTCAGCACACTACACGTTAAGACCAATTCTCGGCCAATATTACTATAGCCGATGATTTTCTCTCGTAATAAATAATTTTTATATGTTCAAATATTAATTTAATTTTGGTATATATAGCCTACGATTTTCAATTATAATAAATGAGCGCTTTTTGTATATGAATAGATGTTAATTTAATTTATAATAAACTGTTTTGGTAATTTTATATTCTTTTAATTTTGTATTACACATTTAATGCAGATAAGACTCGACAAAACGGCAATAATAAACCTAATATATTTTTGTTCTCAATATTATCCCTTCTCTTTGTCACATTGTAACACCACTGGCCAAAGCCAGGCTTACAAGAGCAAATTTCAGTAAAAAAATCCCATGACAACCAAAAAGCGTCGTGGATTGCGCCGACTGTATGCCTACGGGTATAATAGATTCTTTGGAAACCCCATTAATATATATTTGCCAATTACTACTTCAAATTTACATGGTTCATAGGACATATAAGAATGATTATTATAATGTAGCTATGCGATGCATATACATTAAAAAAAACTGGCTTAATGAGGTATGTAACGGTTAAAAGGCGACCTTCATTATGAAGTCTACATAATACATGGAGTTTGTTTATTGAAATGGAACCAAGTGTACCTAATTATAAATATGAACTAATAAGAAATTTGATAAAATGTAGCCCAAACCAATATACTATTTTTTAACACTACCCCATAAAAAGCAATAATTACTAGTAGGTTTATTGTTAATAAACGCTGAATGAAATCTCTAAAATTAACGACATATTTTCGCTCAGGTGTGCATTAAATTAAATTAAACATTAATATTTTTATGGTCTTGTCGATAAATTATTCATTAATATCTCAGTACATTTTTAAACAACATTCTTTATATTACACATCATCCAAATTAACATGAAACATTTATAAAACATGCATTAAAAAACCGATTGCAGCTAATATTATCATTACCTTTGTAAACGGGTTTTAAGTTTTTCTAATTCATCATGTAAATTTTCGTTTTGCTCTTCTGAATAAGCCAGCTGTACTTTTAGCATACCCATTTCTCCCAAAACTTTGTTCAATTCGTATTTTAACTGTTTTAATTCTTCTTCTAATATCGTTTTCTCTTGTCCAACTACAATGGTAAACAGATTTCGTTAATTTATAAATATTTAAAGGTACTTACAGTAATTTTTTGCTTTTTCCAACTAGCATGAGTTCCACAGGGTTCTAGACTGGGACCGCTGCTTTCTATGACATCTATTAATCATACTGACTAGCGACTAAATTCAGAGGAATCTTAAGATATATTTTATGGCTAAACTCTGTTTGCTAGCGAGGCGAACTAACGAAAACTGAGGGCAAATATTTCTAAAATATTATTTATTGATAACAGAACATTTCTGATCCTTTTTTTTTCTGAGATTCTTTTTTGGCGCATAATTTTTTAATTCAAATCGATCTAATTTTGTAAGTTTTAAAGTGAAATATACTTAAATAAAAATGGATAGTAATCAAAAAAGTAGGTTTTGAAGAAAAAGCTATGGAGGGAATTTTTTTTTGTTATGACTGAAGACCATTCAATGAAAAATAAAGATCTAAAGAAACTAGCGTAAATGTGTTGTAGATATATATAGGAAGTAGAAAGAAATACTGTTTAAAATATCGAAGGAATAAAATGTGCATGGAGCAGTTAAAACGGGTAAGAAATACATTAGGAAAGAGGTTAAATTAGAAATTTTGAAAAATTATATTAGGAGAACCGTCCATTCCTATTTTTATAATATGTATAGATTACTATCTAAAACAAGCTTAGGATTTTTTACAAATCGGTAGAACTATTTTAGGTAAGAGATAATATACTAACTAGAAATTACATAAACATCCGTATTCACAAAGCATTTTTAAATAGTGACCTACGTGTAAATTCTTAAAGTTAGAAATAACAATTCAGAAAAAAAGTAGAGTTGAACGATAGCGTAATTTTTCAACTTTAACGTGAAACAATACGGTGATTGGTAAAATTCAAACAAATGAGGTTATGTTTTCTCTAATTATTAACAAATTAAATATGAGTTAATATTTGTCTGAAAAATATTTATGAAATCGATAGAATAAAACATTATTTTATTAAAGAATATTAGTTTACCAAGAATAAAATAATTAACTAACATTTCGTAAAATATCGCCCAATCCTATTTATTGGACATTCATTATAATGGCATTTATAGCTTTACAGATTTACATGAGCGTAAATTTAAAGATGTTTTGTGAATTAGTCAATTAGAAAAGCACGCGAACAAAGAATGGAAATATATTATTTAAACGAGACAGATTTCCAAAGGATAAAAACGCTTCTTCTTCACGTCAAGTCTTTATGAATGGATTGTCTTCAGGAATGCAAGTGACGACAGGAAAAGAATTTCGATTAATATTACATATAGGAAGTAGTAGTGGATTTGTAAATTACCTTCTGCTCTTTGAATACAAAACATCAGTGATTACTACGGCTAGATGAATTCTGCAATTTTCTGAGGATTGATTCATCGGTTGGGTGAGTAATGGACAATGCATATTCTGGTGGTGCGAAAAATGTCTAAATTAGTGGCTATTCCGCTCAAAAGTTGACTTAGGTGCATTATCCTCGCATAACAAAATCGGACAATATCTTCCGTTCGTACAAAACGCCGAAAGTTTTAAAAAAATTATGAATTTGACAATATTTTAGTTTTTTTTTTAATTGTGGGTTTGTATTTTTTGCGCTACAGTGCTAAAATGTTAGTACTAGTATTAAATACCTGGCAAAAAATATCACTCTTTCATATTTTCCGATCGCGCAAAACGTCTGAATATTTGCAAAATTGCAATTTTTTAATTTTCTTCATAATTCTGCCCAATCGGTCTACTAAATGATCTTGGACCAGTTGTTACCTTAGCTAAATATTGAATATGTCGTAAGGAAACAGCCAATGGTAATGGTCATCCAATTTGTCGGTTAGCACTACTTTTCCATCCGGTATTGGTAACGTCACAGCCATTTGGCATCAAGGTGTTCGAAGGAAATTTCTTCTTCGGTAAAGTAAGATACAATAATTGATGCAATGTCCTTAGCAGAACCATATTGGAGACACGTGGCCCAAATAAATAGAACCAGATTCTTGAATGATGGAATAATGTACATCTTTTTTGTTGGACGATACTGCTTTGATTAAATTTTTTAGATAATTAAAGTATCGTCTTTACTACCGTCCTAATAAATAGATCGTACGTTATTTGAATCCTGCTTACTTTTTTTCCAGTAAATCACTTCTACTTCGACTCCTTTCCCTTCTTAATTTATTTCGACTACTTTGGAAGTGTTTGTTCCTGTTACCAACCTAATGTCTTATAGAATACTCGCGCCAGCTGCATGATCAGATAGATACTCCGTAGTTTTAAGCTTGATCCTCATTTGCCAAGGTAACTTCTTATTTATTTTAAATAATTCTAGTTACTGACTCAAATTTAGAAAAAAAAATTAATTATATTAATTAGATTTTTATCAAATTCAACATTCATCAATTCATGTTATTTTTAGTTATTTTTTTTAATTTTTGTGGGAAGTTAAAGGAGCCATAACCCTAAAAGTTCTAGGATATTAAAAGGGTTTAACCTTTCCAAGGTGGAATCATTATAATATATGCGCGCGTCGGTAATCGTACTCGTTAGCTGTAGGAATAAAAGTATGGGGTACTCTAAAATATAAGTACTTGAACTTTTTTTAGTATGAGTCCCATCAGGATGAAAGTACTTACGAGTACCAATTACTGAGTACTTTGAGTACCCGAGTACAATTTTGAGTAAAATGTACTCAAGTACTTCCCTAGATGATGAGCAGTAATCTTCTTGGGTGCTATGGCGAACGGCAGTATCTTCTATCATAGACATACGATCCTCATAATATTACATTTCACTTATTTTCACTCAAGTGAGAGTAACTTCAAAATATAAAATTATGGTAAAAATTTACGGCAGGCCATAACTGAGTATAATCCGTGCATCGTACTTTGTAATTTTTGCAAATATTCAGACGTTTTTCGCGATCGGAAAATATGCTTTAAAATCAGTGATATCTTTTTTACAGTATATTCAATACTAGTACTAACGTTTTAGAACTATAGCGCTAAAAAATACAAACCCCCATAAAAGAAAAAAAAAATAAAAAACTGCAAAATTCATAATTTTCTTAAAACTTCCGGCGTTTTGCGCGAACAGAAGATATTGTCCGGTTTTGATAATTTTGTTATGCTAGTATACACCTTAAGCAACTTTTTAGCGACATAGCGAATCGAAAATATTATTATTATTATTGGCAAAACAACACTTTCCAATAAAACAAAAGTTTTATGTTGATGAAATGGCTCGAGTTCGCAATGTGGAAGTACTTATAAACTAAAAAATGCCATTTTTAAATTGGTAGACGTCAATCAGTTCCTTCAAGAAGCTATTGGTGGCATAGACGCCACAAAATGGACAAAACGCTTAGCAGATGTCAGGGAAAATGTGGCAAATGGTTATCAACATCAATCCCATAAACATACATTTGGGAGAAACTAGTAGTGACAGCGATTCGGACAAGAGCGTAGAACATATCATGTAATTGCATAAATAACATCGCATTAAACCTTTTCCTCATTGACTTTTCCATGAGCACTTACCTATTGATAAGGGATTTATATTATGACCAGTTCATTAGTGCGTCTGTTAAGTTCCCCTACATGTGGCCCACTTCTCCGTTAGGTTAGTTTACAGTGTTTTTTGTTTTTAATGGGACGATAATTCACTGAAATTCATAATTACTGACTATATTTCATTTAAACTAAATTTCCATTGTTTAACAGATATTAATTTTATTGTCATAGTTCGCATTGCTAGCGAAAACACTATAATTATAATACATTATTTGAATGGAAACGACTGCTGGAATCATTTGACACCATACTATTATTAACAATATCGTTGATATAAATGACGAACAGAGCGAGTCCAACAATTCAACCCTGAGGCACTCCGAATTGAATAATAACGTAAATATTGGTAAACGATAAACTTACCTATACTATTATCTTTGGTTTGTCTGGTAGGTGATAAATTGTAATGTGACACGTTTGACAGGTTAAGTAGGTCTTGACAACTGAGAAGTTTTTGACCAAAACTCGCCCTAGGTGTTGACTGCGTGTAAGGGAGTATTTTTTCATCAATATCATTTAGTTGACTATACAAAAAATATAATTTATTAACAATTTTTTTAATTAGTAAGGCCGGGTCTACACTATGCGTATTCTCGGTATACGTAAGATACGTGCTGTGCGTTCACATTGTGCAGATTTTCTGCGTATTTACTTTTTGGTGATCGTAAAAAGTCGAAGTGATATGTTTATAGTAACATTTTTTTGCGCTTTGGAATCTACGTCTTTCCAGTCCGTGAACATATTTCCGTAGGAACTGTTGGCCAACTTTTGTCCCTCTATACTTGATTTAAATAAACTTTTCGCGCTTTGTCCCTTAATGGTGATTGACCATGTACTCTCAATAAACTTGTCCATATCGAACATTTTCAAAAAAAAACTTGAATGTCACTGAAAAAATTAAAACTACAAATACACACTGACCGATTCGCACAGTGGACGTGCGTATCTTCGGCAGCATACTGCGTGGTTGCTGGTTGCGTATATACAGTATGTTAACCTAAGAATCCCGAGAAATAAAGATGAGACAATTATATTTGGACGTAAGTAAAATAAAGAAACTTGTTTAACTACGCCCTTTGGATGACAAGGAGGGGACACTGCTGCTCGCAGTCAGCGATCATAGATAGAAGCTCTAGCACAGCACAAATTTCAGTACTCCAACAAACTGTTTTGGGGTGTACGTCGCTTGTTGTAAGACGGCGAAAGTTACGTAGTTAACGGTAATATATTACAAATAAAATGCTCAGTTTTGCAAGAAGGTACCTAAATATAAATGACATTCAATTAATTAAAAAAATGCAAACAGGTACTTTCAAAAAATAAAACGATTTCAAAAATAAAATAAAACAATTCTCAGAAATGAGAGAATTTATTCTAGTCATTGTAAGACTCGTCTGTTCACCTTCCGCTTGCGTGAATGGAAGTTTAAAAACATGTTTATACCTCTACCGCGGTAGTGGGACAGCCGGTACAGCTCTATTTCTCTCTATTCAATGTTGCTGTTTTTCTAGACCTTTCTACAATATTCAGGAATCCAAATTTAACATACTGTATATGTGAAAACTCCAATGTGTTCTCGTCTTGACAAAAATACGCAGCTGAAATACGCATCCGCGGAATACGCACAGTGTAGACCCGGCCTAATCAAATTGAAAATAAAAAGACTAATATTAATAAGCGCTTTTGTGTTTATTTTTTACTCTTTAATAGTCTATCTATACCAACTATTTTGATGTAACACTTTTGAAAGTCAAGAGTTTATCAACAATTGATTGTATTTAGGAAGTAAGAGATAATCTTTCAAATTTTTTCATTTTCTTACAACAGTGTCTTGTTAATCTTGGTATTATCTATATAACCGTTTAAATTTATTATTCAGGAAGAACATCATTAGGTTACACAAACAATTGTGCAAAAATTCTGTTAAGTAAATAATTTAAAAATAAAAAAAACACAAATAAAGCACTGTACATCACAAGTATTATCAAAAGTTTTACGATATAAAAATAACAGTTGTACTTAAAAACACTTGCCTAGCCGATTGATTGAATTCTCCGTCACTGTTTTCTTCTTCGCTGTTGCTGGCGATCTTTTTCGCCCATTCGTTCATAACTTTGTAAAACTTTTCGCCATCTATACATTCGTTTTTGCTATATGGATCTAACATAATTCTTAAAGTTTCTAAAGCCGAGCTGTAATGTAAAAATAGCTATATTGTTTAACTAGGGAGGAAAGTGACACTTTTCTTCCCGCATGCGACATTTCATTAGGAGAGGGCAGCAAATGCCAGAAGAAAAAATACACTTTACTCCATTGTATAACAAGATTTTTTAAATGCCGGGTAACCAAGTGTATGTGAACCCAATAGGCCTTTTCATCACAATTTTTTTTGTGCGCATGCATCAGTATCAGTCATCTTTTTCAAACTGTTTTTTGTTAACAAGCATTTTAAAATGTCCACGTGAAAAAAATTATATTCGATAAATATACATTTTAAGTATATTCGTTTAAAAAAAGTAAAGTAATAAGTGTCTTAATTGAAAAATCAATTTTTGCAATCAATTAATTATGTTATCAATATGGAAACGAAAAACTAAACGGTTATGAGTTATGAGTGACACACGGTATAAATTAATATTTTATAAAAAGAAAAATACATATTAAAACAAGTTCAAAATGAGCATTATGAGTGAAAAAATGTGGTCGAAGTGACAAAGGTTTTCGATCGATTGATGGATGATGTTTGGTACTAAAGATACATTAACTTTGTCCCAACATCTCACAAAACCGTAATATTACGGTCATCGTCATGCGCAGTAAATAAAAACCTATCAATAAAGCCCAAAGTCGAACGGTTTTTATTTACTGCGCATGACGATGACCGTAATATTACGGTTTTGTGAGATGTTGGGACAAAGCTTTATATTTGTTCACTACATTTTCATGGAGAAAGTGATTCAACAGAAGAAAATCCTTGTCTGGTATTACACAATATTTTTTAATATTAAATACTACTTCGGTATAGACAGTTATATTATTAAAAATGTCATGTTGATCCATAAAATTTTAAATAATTTATCTTATTAATTAATTATACTCGTGATTAACTTTCATGTTAAAGTGTTTTTGCAATTATTAATAGTTGGTTGGCATAAATTAGAATAGAGTTATAATTATTATTATTTGTTTTTATTAATTTTTTACACAGTTAATATTGAAACCTAAACTCTTAATCAAACTTTTTTCCTTATTCCGAACGTTTACGTCACTTCAAGAACCTTTTTAATTGCTCAAAACTATGTGCAACAGAGTTATAAAAATGCAAATCGCCATTAACGATTTTTTCTAATGATTGAATTGTATGTAGAGATAATATTGCTTTTCCAGCCATTGTTGATCAAAACAGTACGAAACTTTTGAATTGGTGCTATTTCAACATGGCGACTGCGCTTGCGCTCATTACATGATGAAAAGGCCTATTGAAATATTCTTGCTCACCACTCTCTCCTACCTACCCAAAAATTTTCAAATATTGTATAAAAAAATTTAAACAAATACTGTTAAAATTATTCATTTTACGAAATCAAGAATGAGGTTTACTTAAATTACTGAATATAAACCCTTTTTCATGTTCATTGAAATCATAGTTTTCTTCATAATTTCAATTATATTGGCCCCCATCATCACTAGGATTAAAGTCTTAGGCTCGAAATGTGTTTAATGTTATAAGGATGAAAAGTTGAGTTTTTCGGAAGACTACGAGAAGTTTGTCAGTCTAGACGTAATTTAGCCTGGCAACTCGTAGGAGTTCGAAAGAACACTTTCCGTCGTCTACGTTTCATACATTATTTTTTATTCGAATGTGCTTATAGATATTAAAAAATATAGAAAATTAAATCTGAAATATTATTCAGAATGTTTCTGATAACTGAGGTGGCTGTTGATTTATAAGAATAGGTCACAGTTCATAGACAACACGGTGGCTTCTTCAGCCCGTTGCTAAAGAAGGATGTGACATCACGGAATGAAAAATCGAACTGACAGAAAATATTCGGCTGCGGTTCGTACATTAGTTTTTTAAAAAATCTAATATTTTATTAATATTTAGTGATGTTTTTTTTTTTGGACTATATACCTGTGTTGGAGTTTTTATAAAATCGGTAATTTGATTTTTTGAAAGACAAACCACAAAACGGCATGGAAAAATCGTGTAATGATTTCCATCAAATTTCAAATGAATTACTTTTTATTTGAATTATAAAGAGCCATATTATTGTGTGAATGGTTTATTTTAAACATTTTGGATTAGAGTACGGCCTCCAAGCTAAATTCGGATCACACTTTGTTTATATTCCGAAATATTTTCAAATGTTGGCAATCTTGGAGCGAGTCGTAGTGTTGCTGTTGGCAAACAATTTTTACTTTTTACACACAAAAATCGTTAGAAGAAATAAAGAGACTGAGACTAAACTGAAATTAAAGGCTAATGGTAAGAATAGTTTGTTCTGCAAATATCATTAACTATTATTAAATTAATTGCAGCTTTGTCCACCCTACATTTAAAAGCAGATGAGATGGTTCCTTACGAATATTTAAAACAAGCGAGAGCAAAAAGTCAAAGAACATACATTAAAAAAGAGGTTTGCTGCAGGAAGTTTTTAGTAAAAAGTAAATAGTTACAAGTCATTTTAAAGAAGAAAACAAGGGCCTTTAGGAGTTGAGAAGAAGCATTCACGATAAGATGTTTGAGTAAACGGTGCTATCTTTACCTCAGTAATAGTCTAAAGACTCTATCCCTTGCTGGAGATTTCAACTTTACAAAAGTGCGATACTAAAATCTAAGATATGGTCTTCTGGATGATTTATTTAAATATTCCAAGTATATGTAATGTTAAATCTCTTCTGTGTATTGTATGTATATGTTACGGTCAAAGATGATATTTTCGTCTTTAACGATATTGGCCAGTCATTTTCGTAAATCTCCTATTTGATTGGGCATTCTGCTGACGTTAGTGTCCGGTCAATATCGTCAGTGCCCAATTTACAACACTGCCCGTAACATATATAAACAATAGATAAAACTGTTTTTATCTAATTTGGTACCTATATTTACAGATTATTATAATAAAACTGGGTGGTTGTTTTTTATTTTTTTAATTAAATTATACGTTCATACAACAAATAACTAGAAACTGACAAAAAATATATTTATTTCGAATATAAATATACATTGTATGTTTCTTCTGAAGTCCAACAGGCCCTTGTTTTCTTCTATAAAATTATTTGTAACCACTTTGTACTAAAAACTTCCTGTAACAAACTCTTTTTTCAATAATGTCTTGTAGCGTATCTCTCAAAAAATCAAACTACTGATATTATAAAAACTCTAACACCAAAACAAAGTTCAAAAATAAAAATATAAACACCACTAAATAACAATAAAATATTGGAATATTCTTCTGTCAACTTACTTTTTCATTCCGTGACGTCCCTGCGTCCTTAGCAACCGTGTTGTCTACGAACCGTGAGAATATGTATATTTTTGTTAACAATTGAACAAATACTGTACTGTCAGTGTGCTTATGTTAAATTAATTATAGTTAAAAATGTTTGTATTTTAATTTTATGTGCATGTGGATTATGGATTAGTATTTTACAATAGAAAAAAACTATAGCCAGAAGTATTAACAAGTCAATACAAAAAAACAGAGGTATGATTCTTAGCCCTCGTCGAGTTCGCGGATGACGTATGGTGGTGTGGAACGAATATGTGGTCATGAGTCGATTAAAATTTATTTTCGGCCGTTGTTCTATATCAGCTGATACGTCAAATTCGTAAAAGCCGCGCCTTCCACAACATTAAGTCATCTTGACATATAGCATCAATCTGCGTAATATCATACCTTCTTTTTATAGTATCATGTTAACAAGTAAACAAAAAAAAAACGAATGTAATGTCTAGAAATCGGGACTTGACTTTTTCGGCATGGGACGTAATAGTGTTTTGCAGCAGTTCATTCGAAGTGTATAGAAAAGTTCTACTTTGCGACTGTTTTTGGACACATTAGAATAAAAACTATAATATAAAAATAATGTAGCTAAAAATAAAATGCAATAGTGACTAATATGGCAATGAAAAATGTTTTAAAACATGACATTAGAAAGCAATAGTGCATTCTACTAACTGGAAAACGTTATAATCTTTGATAAATAAACTATAAGCGTCAATTTACCTTCAGTAAAAAGTTATGTCAAAATTTCAAATTTGAGCTAAATTCAACATCAGCATCGCCTTAAAAACTTTTTATTAATTTCAAAGTGGCATTCGATTGTCCATGATTTGTCAATGTTTCTCCAACCAAAAATTTTGTTTGTCCACCACTCAAATCAGAGATATTTTAAAATAAAAAATAATAATTCACCTTGTCCTTAGGGACAATCTTAATACGTTTCATTCGAAAAAAATACGAAATTGTCCACTAATTGTTTTTGTTTCTCTAAGTCGTATTTTCGTTTGTCCTCAAAAAAAAATTGTTATTAACAAAATAAAGCATCCAAAATATAAACAATTATTAACCTACGTACTTCTAAGTGGGTGGACAAACGAAAATAAGGCCTATGCAAACCAACATAATGTTTGGACAAACGATTGCAGTAGTTAGTTTTAATAAATTAAAAATTAGGAGTACTTATATAATTAATTTCTTTTAGGACGACAAACGAAAATAAGGGTTGGACTGTAACCTACCGCACCCAGGTACCTTCATAATTTATTAATTCCATTTTAATAAAGGAAAGTTGCATTCTTTTTAAATTCAAATTCCTTCATGTTACGAAAAATCTTTTAGATAATAAAATTTCATCTAAGATGCTCTTTCAGGTCCCGAAGCTCTCTCTCCTATCCGACGCTCTACGTTCTATATCCTATCCGACGCTCTACGTCCTATATCCTAACCGACGTCCTCTCTCCAATTCGAAAATAATGAGTGTATAAACGATCGATCTAGTTAGTTTTAAGAAACTGTTATAAACGTATTCATATTAATAATTTTATTGTTCATATTTTAAGTTCTTTATTTGTTAATAACAAATTTCTGTTGAGTTGACAAACGAAAATAAGGCATGGACAAACCAAAATAAGGCATGGACAAATGAAAATAAGACCTGTATAAACGAACATAATGTGTGGACA